ATGATGATGATGGTGGTGGTGATGGTGATGATGGTGCTGCTGATGATGACGATGATGATGCTGTTGATGATGATGATGATGATGATGATGATGATGCTGAGGATGATGATGATATGATGATGATGATGATGATGATGATGATGATGATGATGAGGATGCTGATGATGATGATGATGATGATGATGATGATGCTGATGCTGATGCTGATGATGATGATGATGATGATGATGATGATGATGATGATGATGGTGGTGGTGGTGGTGGTGGTGCTGGTGGTGGTGATGGGGGGATGCGGAGGAGGAGGAGGAGGAGGAGGAGGAGGAGGTGGAGGAGGAGGAGGAGGAGGACGATGGGTTTCAGGAGAACGGGTGGAAGAGGGGTCGTCGGCGCTTGAGTCGGAGGAGGGGGATGATGATGATGCTGATGATGATGATGATGATGATGATGATGATGATGAGGATGAGGATGAGGATGAGGATGAGGATGAGGATGAGGATGATGATGATGATGATGATGCTGATGATGATGATGATGATGATGATGATGATGATGATGATGATGATGATGATGATGATGATGATGATGGTGGTGGTGGTGGTGGTGATGATGATGACGATGATGACGATGATGATGATGATGATGATGATGATGATGATGATGATGATGATGATGATGATGATGATGATGATGACCATGATGAGGAGGAGGAGGAGGAGGAGGAGGCACATGAGGAGGAGGAGGAGGCACATGAGGAGGAGGAGGAGGAGGAGGAGGAGGAGGAGGAGGAGGAGGAGGAGGAGGAGGACGGGGGCGATCGTCTCCGAGCGGGCATAAGGCGCTGCTCCTGGGGGTGTCGGCCTGTCCGCAGAAGGGGCGTGCCCCGCAGACAGGGGCTGGTTCTGCTGTCGGTGCCTGTGCGCACTCTTTGGCCGAGCAGGAGTGGACGTGGTGATCGCCGTATCGGTGATCAGGATACCCATGGCGAGTATAGCGGCGACGATGCGATTGATGGCGGGGGCGGCGTGTTGCTTGGCAGGGTGGTCTTCCCGGCGCGGCGGGGAGCGAACGGAAGCCTGCAGAAACCGACGGGGCGCCGGCGGAAGCATGCTCTGAGACACATCGGTGATTGTTTCGGCGACGTGCCTGTGGGGGAAGTGAAAGGGGGCGGGCCTTCTCAGAAGGCTCGGAAAGCTTCGGTCCGTTGAGAATTCTAAGCTTTCCCTTAAGACAGAATTTTTCAGAAGGCGCGAGGGCTTCTGAGAAGCCCCGCCCCGCCGCCTTCAAGAAGGCCAGCTCCTTCTCACTTCCTCCCAGGGCGCGCCGCCGACTCAAGCGGAAGTCCGAACTCGGAAGTTGGTTTTGGTAGAAACGTTGCGGGGACACGTGGGAACCGCGCAAGCCGCAGGAAAACCTGAAGAATTCTTGACGCTTCGCGTATCCCCACCAGCCCATCCAAAAACGATGCCCAGGCGAATTGCGGTGATCAGGGAAGTGAGGGAGCATACATAATAGCAAAGGGCTAGGGGACCCGTCTTACCCAAGAGGGCGAGGATGGAGGAGGAGTCGGAGGAGGATGAGGAGGAGGAGGAAGAGGGGGAGGAGGGGCAGCAGGTGGGAAAAGTGGGAGGAGGGAGGAGGGAGGAGGGGAATAGGCGGATGATGGAGGAGGAGGAGGGGGAGGAAGGGAGGAGGAGGGAGGAGAGGAGGAAGGAGGAGGAGGATGAGGCTGATAAAGTGGAGGAGAAGGAGGAGGAGTAGGCCGACAAGGAGGAGGAGGAGGAGGAGGAGGAGGAGGAGGAGGAGGAGGAGGATGAGAAAGATAAGAAGGAGCAATAACAATGACGTGCACAAGGGCCTCCTAGGATGTCCCTTGTAAGTTGTTTCGGAGTCCTCTTGGAGCGCCTGGGGGATTCTTGGATGCCTCGGGGATCCTCTTGAGGCCTGTTGGGGGTCTAGGGAGCCTCTTCAGGGCCTCTTGGGGACCTCTTGGGGCCTCCTGGGCGCCTCTTGAGGCCCTCTTGGGGCGCTCTTGGGAGCCTTGGGAGCGCTCTTGGGGCCATCTTGGAGGTGATCGATCAAAGGAAGGGGGTCCCTCAAATAGTACCCCCCCTCGGGAGCCTCTAAAATCGGCCAAAACCTTCGTAAAATCGATGATTTTGGCTTCCTCGCCGAGGCCGTTTTGGACGCTCCAACTACCAGCGAACCCCCCCCGTCCAGGTCCAGTGGAGGGGGTTAGGGGGAGGGGTAAACCCCTCCCCGAAGGGAAAGAAGGGAAGATGGAAGAGGAAACTCCCTAAACCACCTACGCCCAGAGGGCTGGTGGGATTCACCATAATCCGCGTCGGAAGCCCATCCTCTCTTTTTCAACAGTCCAAACTCGGATTTGGTATTTTTGACCATGCCCCAGGATCAATTCATGTGACGTGCTGCGTAAAACGTGGGGTGCCCCCCCCCACCCCCGACTGGGATCTCGTCTTCGTCGTCGTTTTCGGCGTCGTCGTCGTCGTTGCCGGCAAAGCAGGCCACCACTGGCAGCAATCATCCATGATCGCCGTCAGCACCTCCGCCGTCAGCAACGTCGCCATCTTTGCCGTTTTCGCTGCCCTCATTGCCATCGTCACCGTCCCTCTCGCGCACCTTCTCCCAGTCGCCATCGTCGTCGTTATCGCTGTGGTCCTCGGTCGCCATCGGCCAGCCACCGCCTGCCTGGGCCAGAAACGCGACGGCCGCCAACCCCCCTCCATGCCCATGCGTTTGCGTCTCCGTCGGGCCGCCAAACGGGCACCGACGGCCGAACCCTCCGCCCGCACGGGCACTCCGCCCACGCACGTGCTGCCAGAGCCAGGTCGCCCGTGGGGGCCTCGAAGGCCATACAGTCGGGGCCCTGAAGAAGGAACCTTTTTCGTTGGGGAGGGGCTCCGTGTTCCTTAGGTGTTTCGCAGCTTGCCTTGGATTTTCCTTAGGTTTTCGATGCAAAATCGAAGATTAACTCATGGAAAAAAGGGGCCTCGTTCCTTATTTAGGGTTCCTTAGGTCAAGCCCCCGACTGTATTGTCAGCATCACCCAGACGCACTCATACGATATGTGCGTCGGCCCCCCCCCGAGGGCGACGCGCGCGCTCGGTGGCTGGCGCTCTCTGGCCGTGCCGCCTGGGCAGCGCTATGCTACATATGATGCCTTCGTGCTACACGCTCGGTTTGGGCGTGCGCATCCCAAGGGGGGCGCGTCGTACCGGTGCGTCCTCTGCGTCCCCATACTGCGCCGCTCGCGCCGTGCCTGGCGGCCCAGGGCGGAGGGGACCGTCTTGCTCCAGGGAGGCGGCGCGTGAGTGCGAAGGCGACCGCGCGTCGCGCGTCGCGCGTCGTGCCCAGCGCGGCGCGCCCCGCGCGGCGCGGAGCGGGAGGGGTGACCTGGAGGAGAGGGCGGAGAGGGGGGAGTGTTCGTCGTGTTCGTCGTCGCCGTCGTCGTCGTCGTCGTCGTCGTCGTCGTCGTCGTCGTCGTCGTCGTCGTCGTCGTCGTCGTCGCCGTCGTCGTCGTCGTCGTCGTCGTCGTCGTCGTCGTACCCGTCGTCCCCGTCGTCGTCGTCGTCGTCGCCGCCGTCGCCGCCGCCGCCGCCGCCGCCGCCGCCGCTGCCGCCGCTGTCGTGGGCGTCTGATTTGCTGGCAGACGGGGGGCCTGGGAGAGGAAAGGGCCCCCCCCAGGGCGTCGTGGCGCTCCGCGGCCCCAAAGGGTCCCGAGACTGGCCAATAAGGATCCCGAGACTGCTCTGAGAGACCTCCCAGACGGCCCTGAAGGCCCCAAGACGGCCGAAGAGACCCCCCAAGACTGCCCAAATGGCCCCCAAGACTGTGCAGAAACCACGATCCAAAGACGCCTCCACAACGCGCGCCGCCTCGCGTGCGACCATCGCCTCAGGGGCACCTTCAGGGGGGATGGGCTCAGGGGGGGAACGGTTCGGGTCCGAGGTTCGAGGCTTTCGGACGTCGTCGTGGGCCCTCGGCGGTTGTTCAGCCTTGGGGTGCTTCCCCGCAGCTGCGCCTCGCCGAGGGCGCGTCCCGTGGGTGCCCGGATCGTCCCGAGCGTCCGCCAGAGAGTTTAGCTATGACCCGAAAACAAGAGGGGGGTCATCCCCAATCGCCCACTCATCGCCGATAGGGAGGCCCGATGGCCTATTCCGCCCAGGACCCTGGCGATTTGCTACCGCGGGCCCGTTGCCGATCTGTCGGCGATGCATGGCCGATTCCAGGTCGATGTTCACACCCCTGAGCCAGGCTCCGCCTCATGCGCCCCCTTTCCCCGTGGGGCCAATTTAGATTCGATCTGATCGATCCTTGGGGGCCTCCATACGTAGTGACCACACCGCATGGTGAGTCAGCGGGGATTCGGGGTCACTGCACGGTTTTGGGACCTGGGTCGTTCTCCGAGGACGTCTCGGGCGACCTGGGGTCTCCGAGGCCCCCGACGTGGTGTGGCCTCGCGGTGAGGCGGTTGGGAATCCCGAGGGCATCGCGTGGTCTGCCACCGCACGGCTTTGAGACCCCCGAGATCCGACTTGATGTCGGCTGCGGCCAGCCCGACCCGATTCGATCCGATGCGGCCCGATGCTCGCACATGGCGTGGCGGCGCGTTGTGCGCCCGGGCGCGGCCCGACCCGAGCCGGCTCCGACTCCTCGACGAATGCGGCCCGATCCGAGGCACGCGCCGATCCGATCCGGTTGCCGCACTCGGCGCGGACGGAGCGCCCCCCGCCTCGGAGCCTCGGAGCCTCGGAGCCTCGGGGCCCACATGCGAACCCTACCCCCCTACCCCCCACGACTTCTGAGGGGGTAGGGGTGGGGTTCGCTTCGCTCGGGAGCTCCCGAGCGAAGGGAGCCCCACCCCCTCCCCCTCAGGAATCGTGGGGGGTATGGGGCAGGGGTTCGCACGGGGCCCCTCATCAGAGCCTCGGGGCCTCCTGGAGCCTCGGGGGCCCCCGGGGCCTCGGAGCCACGCCCGAGAGGAGACGCCGCGGCGGAGCAGCGAGGGCGGCGCGGCCGCGGAGGGCGGCGCCGCGAGGAGGGGCAGCCTCTCGTCGCTGCTGCGGGGGGCGGCGCGCGGCAGGGAGGAGCCGCTGAAGGGGCAGGACCCCCGCGGGTCCGCGGGATCGAGGCGGAGGGGGGCAGGGATTCCTCCTCCTCCTCCTCCGCCTCCTCCTCCTAGTTATCCTCCTCCTCCTCCTCCTCCTCCTCCTCCTCCTCCTCCTCCTCCTCCTCCTCCTCCTAGTGATCCTCCTCCTCCTCCTCCCCGTCCTCCTCCTCCTCTCCTCCTCCTCCTCCTCCTCCTCCTCCTCCTCCTCCTCCTCCTTGGGTCGGGGGTGGGCAGAACCCCCACCCTGACACGTCGGGCAGCGAGTTGTCCGTTCTCGGTCCTCGAGAGGGCGCCGTGGCCGTCATTTTCCAGGCCTGCGCCCACCGGGTTTGGGCCCGAGGTCGTTTTCACTGAACCACGTTTTGCTGAAAGGGGTTCTGTCCATCCCCGAATGTCAGGAGGGGAAAAAACACAGACACAATTCATCGCCGATCCCCCCGAAAATATAGGAAAATATGGGAAGTGGGGGTGAAGACGAAAACCCCCAAAATAAGGGACAATGTGGGGAATGTTTGGATTTGTGTGTATTTATTTGTGTGTCCTGGGGCCCCTTCAGCCACGCGCAGAGGGGGGTGGGGGGAGGGGGGAGGCTTCTTAGAAGCACCCCTGCTTCTTAGAAGGCGCGGGCCTTATCTATAGATGTAAGGCCGGCGCCTTCTGAGAAGCAGCCTGCTTCTAAGAAGCCCTCCCCCCTCCCCCACCCCAGTGTGCGCGCCGCCAACCCCTTCAGAATGGGGGTGGCGGTGCCGACGACACGATGCGCAACTGCTCAGAGCTGCAGTGGCCCCGAGCCTGCAAGAGCATGCCAGCTCCGCCCGTGGGCCCTGGCCGTGCCCCTGCCACGAGCGGGGGCGACCAGCCACGGGCGCGGGCTCCTCCGAGTCGATTCGATGGGCTCTCCGTGGCTCTACATTCCGATGCCGCGAGTCGGCCTCCCCGGGCCTTCTGAGCAGCCTTTGGAGCCTTCCACCCCGAAGACACAGACAAAAACTTCTCAGATGGCGCGAGGGCGTCTGAATAGTCCGGCCGCTTCCTGAGAAGGCCTCCTCCTTCTCCTCCTCCTCCTCGCCCTCCTCCTCCTCCTCTTCCTCCTCCTCCTCCTCCTCCTCCTCCTCCTCCTCCCCCTCCTCCTCCTCCTTCTCCTCCTCCTCCTCCTCCCGGGAGTCCTGCCGGGACTCCGACCTCTCAGCAGGGGCCTCACTGGCCTGCCCGGCTCCGCCGAGTCGCCCTCTCCCGACCCGGCTGCCGCCTTCCCGCCGGTGCGAATCGTTTCGGTCGCCGCTCCGATTCGTCGATCCGCCTTGGGCTCAGGAGGGGGGGGGGAGGGGGCGAGGGAGGAGGAGGAGGGGGGTGAGGAGGAGGAGGAGGAGGAGGAGGAGGAGGAGGAGGAGGAGGAGGAGGAGGAGGAGGGAGGAGGAGGGAGGAGGAGGGAGGAGGAGGGATGAGGAGGGTGGAGGAGGAAGAGGAGGAGAGAGGAAAAGGAGGAGGAGGACCAGTGGAGACCCAAGAGTCATCAACGATGTTTGAAGACACCCTCCCTCCAAGCTCCCTCCTCACAGGCCCCCACAAGGGTTCATTTCCACTGGGGAAGACAACCGTTTGAAGACCCTGATGCATGCCAAAACATCGTTCTCGGGATTCCAACGCCACGGATCAACCTGACAGTCGCTTCTGGACGACCCTCAATCGTGCCAGAACGCCGTTCTCGGGACTCCAACACCGCGAATCAACGTAACTGTTGCGCCATCATAATCCTGAATCCTTCCAGAACGCCATTTCTGGTACGCTGATCATGGGAATCCGTGAAACTCTTGCAATTTGTTTAAACAACTGTGCGCGGCGCTAAGGCGAGAGCCACATTTTGAAAACCACCTGCCCTCAATCTGTGAATCTCTTGCACTTTTTTTTTCACGAATGTGCGCGGCGCTAAGGCGAGAGCCACATTTTGAAAACCACCCGCCCTCAATCTGTGAACCTCTTGCACACTTTGAAAGCGAATGTGCGCGGCGCTAAGGCGAGAGCCACATTTTGAAAACCACCCGCCTTCAATCCGTGAAACCCTTGCAATTCGTTTAAGCGAATGTGCGCGGCGCTAACGCGAGACCCACATTATTAAAACAGCCCACCTTCACCCCGTGAAACTTTTGTGAATTTTTAAAACGAGTGTGCGCGGCGCCAAGGCGAGAGCCACATTTTCAAAACCATCCGCCCTCAACGTGTGAAGCTCTTGCAATTTTTGAAAACGAATGTGCACGGCGCTAAGGCGAGAGCCACCATTTTGAAAACGACCCGCCTACAATCCGTGAAACTCTTGTGAATGTTTATGACAAGTGTGCGCGGCTTTGAGGCGAGAGCCACATTTTGAATTTCACCCGCCCTCCATATGTGAAGCTGTTGTCAATTTTAAGCTTCAGGGTCAGAAATGGTGAGGAACTCTCAGGCGAAACGCCCGGCCCGCCCTGAAGACTGGCCTCGGGGTGCGATAGGGAGACGTTAGTTATAAGGAGGAGGAGGAGGAGGAGGAGGAGGAGGAGGAGGAGGAGGAGGAGGAGGAGGAGGAGGAGGAGGATGAGAGAGGAGGAGGAGGAGGAGGAGGGGGAGGAGGAGGAGGCAGGAGGAGGGATGAGGAGGGAGGAGGAGGAAGAGGAGGAGAGAGGAAAAGGAGGAGGAGGACCAGTGTAAACCCAAGAGTCATCAACGATGTTGGAATTAGCCCTGCCTCCAAGCTCCCTCTTCATGGGCCCCTGCAACAGTTCTTGTCCATTGAGGTAACTGCCTCGTTGGAAGACAACCGCTTGAAGACCCTGAACCATGCAAAGACATCGTTCTCGGGATTTCAACGCCACGGATCAACCTGCTTGCTGCGTCTTGACGATCCTGAATCGTGCCAGAGCGCCATTTTGGGGCTTTTAACACCGCGAATCAACATAACTGCTGCGCCCGCATAATCCAGAATCCTTCCCAAACACCATTTCTGGTACGCTGATCATGGGAACCCGTGAAACTCTTGCAATTTGTTTCAAACGAATGTGCGCGGCGCTAAGGCGAGAGCCACATTTCGAAAAGGAACCGGCCTCAATCCGTGAACCTCCTACATATTTTTTAAAAAGAATGTGCGCGGCGCTGAGGCGAGAGCCACATTTTGAGAGCCACCCGCCCTCAATCATTCCGTGAAGCTTTTGTTGCGAATTTTCAAAACGAATGTGCGTGGCGCTAAGGCGAGAGCCACATTTTGAAAACCACCCGCCCTCAAAATGTGAATCTCTGGCCTTTTCTTGAAAACGAATGTGCGCTTCGCTAAGGCGAGATCCAGATTTTGAAAGCCACCCGCCTTCAACCCGTGAAGCTTTTTGCACATTTTTGCAACGAATGTGTGGCGCTAAGGCGCGAGCCACGTTTTGAAAATCACCCGCCCTCTATTTGTGAAACTGTTGCCACTGTTTCAGCTTCAGAGTCAGAGATGGTGAGGAAGTTTCAGGCGAAACGCCCGGCCCGCCCTGAAGGCTGGCTTCGGGGTGCGACAGGGAGACGTTAGTTATACGGAAAAGGGGTGGAGGAGAAGGAGGAGGAGGAGGCGGAGGAGGGAGGGGGAGAGGAGGAGGAGGAGGAGGAGGAGGAGGAGGAAGAGGAAGAGGATGAGGAGGAGGATGAGGAGGGAGGAGGAGGAGGAGGAGGATGAGGAGGAGGAGGAGGAGGAGGAGGAGGAGGAGGAGGAGGAGGAGGAGGAGGAGGAGGAGGAGGAGGCGGAGGAGGAGGAGGAGGAGGAGGAGGAGGAGGAGAGGAGGAGGAGGAGGAGGAGGAGGAGGAGGAAGGAGGATAGGAGGAGGAGGAGGAGGGAGGAGGAGAGGAGGAGGAAGGAGGAGGAGGGGAGGAGGAGGAGGAGGAGGGAGAGGAGGAGGCGGAGGAGGAGGAGGAGGAGGAGGAGGGGAGGAGGAGGAGGAGGAGGAGGAGGAGGAGGAGGAGGAGGAGGAGGAGGGAGGAGGAGGAGGAGGAGGAGGAGGAGGAGGAAGGAGGAGGAGGAGGAGGAGGAGGAGGAGGAGGAGGAGGAGGAGGAGGAGGCGGAGGAGGAGGAGGAGGAGGAGGAGGAGGAGGAGGAGGAGGGGAGGAGGAGGGGAGGAGGAGGAGGAGGAGGAGGAGGAGGAGGAGGAGGAGGAGGAGGAGGAGGAGGTGAGGAGGAGGAGGAGGAGGAGGAGGAGGAGGAGGAGGAGGAGGAGAGGAGGAGGAGGAGGAGGAGGAGGAGGAGAGGAGGAGGAGGAGGAGGAGGAGGAGGAGGAGGAGGAGGAGGAGGAGGAGGAGGAGGAGGAGGGAGGAGGACCTGTGTAAACCCAAGAGTCATCAACGATGCTGGAATTAGCCCTCCCTCCAAGCTCCCTCTTCATGGGCCCCTGTAACAGTTCGTGTCCATTGAAGTAACTGCCTCGCTGGAAGACAACCGTTTGAAGACCCTGAACCATGCAAACACATTGTTCTCGTGATTTCAACGCCACGGATCAACCTGACTGCTGCGTCTTGACGATCCTGAATCGTGCCAGAACGCCATTTTGGGGACTTCAACACCACGAATCAACATAACTGCTGCGCCCGCATAATCCAGAATCCTTCCAAAACACCATTTCTGGTACGCTGATCATGGGAACCTGTGAAACTCTTATATATTTCCCAAAACGAATGTACGCGGCGTTAAGGCGAGAGCCACATTTTTAAAAGGAGCAATCCGTGAACCTCTTGCAAATTTTGATAACGAATGTGCGCGGCGCTGAGGCGAGAGCCACAATTTGAAAACCACCCGCTTTCAATATGTGAAGTTCTTGCACATTTGTGCAACGGGTGTGCGGCGCTAAGGCGAGAGCCACGTTTTGAAAACCACCCGCCTTCCATTTGTGAAACTGTTGCCACTGTTTCAGCTTCAGAGTCATAAGCGGTGGGGAAGTCTCAGGCGAAACGCCCGGCCCGCCCTGAAAACTGGCTTCGGGGTGCGACAGGGAGCCGTCAGTTATAAGGAAAAGGAATGGAGGAGAAGGAGGAGGAGGCGGAAGAGGAGGAGGAGGAGGAGGAAGAGGAGGAAGAGGATGAGGAGGAGGAGGAGGAGGAGGAGGAAGAGGAGGGAGAAGGGGGGGGAAGAGGAGGAGGAGCTCTATTTTCCCGGGCCGTTTCCCAGAATCCAGGTCGGGGAACTTCTGCTCGAAGCCGAGGCTCGCCGTCGCGAGGAAAGTCCCCTGCAGCGATCCCTTGTGGTAGCGTTGAGTCGGGCGTGTCCCTCTACAGAGGAATGTTCGAAAATAGGAAAATAGCAAAATTGGTCAGGGGGCTTTTTTTTTTTTTTGTGTGTGTGTGTGTGTGTATATGTGTGTGTGTTATTGTTGGAGTATGTTTGACATTTTTTCACATTTCTCCCCAAAATTCGCCTGTAGGAGGACATGCCCGACTCATGGTAGCGCGATGATTGTACGAAAAAATGGGTACGAATGCCGCGACCAGTTCTTGTTCATTTTGAGCAGGACTCGCTGTCAGTGACGCGGCGAGCGTTGTCCATTCGAGATGGAGGGCCGCCTGCCCAAAAGCGGCCGCTGTCTGTTTTGGACAACATGTGCTGTTGGGGCATCGTGCCCAGTTTTTCCGTGCCCATTCTGGGCGTCCACAGCGAGGGGGTGGCTTCATTGCGACCGGCCGATCGGCCTTCCAGCTTCCATGAGCTGAATACCTATGCGGCCCCCAAAACTCTCGGGGTGGAATTCTGGGGGGCTATGGGTTTCTGTGTATGCGTTGTCGGATGGGGATGTCCGTTCGAACAGAGCCCCCACTCGGGGTCCGACAAGTCGAACGGGAGCTCACTTCGGGGTCGAGGGGGGAGGGGGCGGCCGCGACCGGCTGCCTCCGCTCGTGGGCGAAGAAACATATCCGCATCCACGGCCTTGCGGGCAGGGCCCCTGGGCCGCGACCCTGCGGATACGGGGCGTTTTTTCGCGGATGCCTTCCGCGGAGCGTATCCGGGCGACCGCGTATCCGCGGGATCGCGCTCCGGAATCCAGACCGCGAGGGCGTGGATAGCAATACGTTCGCCGCTCGTGGTTCGCGGCGATCGGCCCTCCAGTCTGCTGGCTGCGCAGCGCACGCCGCCCTTCCTCCGAAGAGGGAAACTCGAGACAACGCTGGTTGGCCTTGGGGGGCCCCCTGGTCGCCAAGGATGGACGCGGGTGGGAAAACTGGTGCATTTGGACCTCGGGGGGGGTCTGGGGTCCGATATTGAGCCCGCGAAGGGGATGCCGCTGAAAGATGGGGTAAAGGGCTACGGTGGTGATTTCCTGACGGTCTCAGAGGAGAGGCTACCGATACCGCTATCGAAATTCTGGTTAGACTGCACCCACGAGTCGCTGGGACCTGTAAGCTTCCCCACGATTGGGCGTTGTCGCACGGTTTCGGATCACGTGACCTCCACACCACAGATCGATCCAGCTCGAGAAATGCAGCAGAAAGATGTGGTCTGGAGCTTTCGGGCCTCCTAGGAGGTTTTTTCGCCGCCACGGCTGGATTCGCTTCGAAATTCTGGTCAGAGCGCACTCTTGGAGAGGTACAGGGAGCAGCGGTATCGGTCCTTGTGATCCGCGCGCTGCAACTTTTTCATACCGGGCGTCTTCGCCAGTTCCGGGCCCCGGGGCTCTCACAGATCGACCTGGCTCGAGAATGGCCTCAAAGACATTCTAGGCCGCCTAAATGGGGTCCCAGCAGATGGTGTCGAAGGGTCCACCGCATCGCCGATGCATCGGCGATGCAGCTCGATGTGGAGCCCGATTTCCTCCACGCCGACGGCTCCGGTGCATCGTCGACGTTGCCGATGCATCGCCGATGTATCGGCAATGCACCGGCGATGCGTCGGCGACGCGGCGCGATCCTCCGACCCCATCGACTCGGATCCCATCTGGGAGGCCTTTAAAGATGGGGTTTGGGGCGCCAGTAGTGATTTTCCACGGTGCTGCAATCTGCTCGCGACGTCGGGCCTCGGGGGGTGCCTCTCCTGCGGCGGTCAGCGCTGCAGTCTGGTGGCTGCGCCGCGTACGCCGCCTGTCCGCGCGTGCACCTCATGAAGGGCAACGCAAGGGCGCGATACGCAGGCTCGGGGGGAATGCGGTTTTCCCTTTTTTGGGCCTCCTGGGAGGCCCTCGCCGCCACCGCTGGATTCGCTTCGGAATCCCGGTCAGGATCCACCCCGGGAGAGTTCCAGGGAGAAGCGGTATCGGTACATTTTGGTTTCCCGGGTCTTCACCGCACCGTGGCCCGAGGTGGCCCGGGCCATCCGTGGTGCAGTCGAAACCGGTGATAAGGATGGGTAGCATCTTCAACGGTTATGATGTTCCAACCTACTATAGCCTTGATCACCAGGGAGAGCTTCGAGCACCAAGGAAGCACCGAAACTGGAGGGTGTTCACGTGTCGGGCCCTGGGAGGCGATACTCGTTCGACAGTTCATTCGCCAGCGTATCGGGCAGACACTGTTTCGATATTGTCCAGGGTGCTCGAAATTACTTTTGGGACGTGGTGCTGCAGTATGATGGAGCAGCGCAGTCCAAGGGTAACCTTGCATCCTCGCCTCTCTGGTCCAGCCTTACGCACACTCGACTGCCAGCCCCGCCCGACAAGCTGCCGCACGGCACGGGCGTCTGAGGCCCTTTGCGTCCTTGCGTCGCGCATCCCTGCTGTCCCTTCTGGCTGCAGCGGTGTCCGCGTGTGCCCCCTGCGGCAGCCAGGACGGCTGGCCCTCGCCTGCGCAGGCGGGCGAGAGGAGGAATTCGGGCCCGGAGATGCAGCGCAAGGGCTCCACGTTTTCTGGGCGGGCGCGCACAGCAGACTCTGCAGGGCTTGTGCAGGCCGACTTTGCCGAGGGGAGCGTGGGCATCCGCGACCTCGACGTGCAGGACCTCCAGGAGCTGCGCGAGCTGAAGGAGGCGCGCGAGAGGCGAGAGCAGGAGCTCGTGAATGCGTACATCAAGAACCACTCCGATGCGATCGGGGGGAGGGCCTCCCTGCGCAGGAGTCAATCCTCGATCGCCAGGATGACCTGGAAGCAGCTGGCTGTCCATCGCCTGATCAGTCACTGGGCGTTCGACTCGGGCATGGGCGTGATAATCTGCTGCAACGCGATGACCATTGGCGTCGAGTCGACGTACACGGCAAAAGACATTGCTCCGCCAACCTGGGTGGAGGTCGTGGAGTACATCTTCATATCCGTGTACACGGTGGAGTTGGCGTTGCGCCTGTTCGTCGACAGACTCAAGGCTTTCCAGAGCCTCTGGGTAAAGTTTGACGCGTTCCTGGCACCTCGGGGAAGCAAAACTCGCAAGAAACCAGACAGATTCCCTCCCTGCCCCTCGTGGTCTGGTCAGAGTGCTGTATGCGCCGACGCGGGGGGTGAGGACCAGGGGCATGCGGATGCCATGGCCAGAGCAATGACATCTCCCAGGCTCACTTCGCTGGCGAAAAACGGGATTACACAGTCTTTTTCGCGATCGGGGCGCCTGTCTCAGGGCGGCTGGGAAGTTTGTACTGCCACCTGGCAACGTACGGTAGGTTCGCGTCTTGTCGACCAGCGGCGACCCCGCCGCCGGCGTGCCACACTGAACGCCGGCAGCTACCCAGAATCGGTCGATTTTGCACGATCTGACATCCCAGAAGGGCCGATCGTTCAAGACTGCACGATCCCCGCGGTGTCAGGGATCAACGCCCGGGTCGACACGAGACGAACCTGAAGCAGGGGCATAAGCTTTCCAGCCGGCCCGGGACAGGCGCCCCAGATTGCGGGAAAGGTCACGTCCTGCCGCCCTTCGCTGCAACACTCGTGGCCCCTGGCCTCCTCTCGTCTGCGCGCGTGCGTCGGGCCGTGGTGCGCCAACGTGTTCTCTTGCCGGCCCCCCTCCTCGGCGCACCCGATCACATTTGCAACTCTTCTGAAGTCGAAAAGGGGATTGACTACAATATTGAATTACCCCAAACTTGATTTGCTCGTCGAACCTAATGAACAATATGATGTTTGCATGTATATACAAACTTTATACGTTTTTGATTCTCCGTAGATTCGACGGGAATTTCAATTCTGGGGTCAATCAATTCTGTAGTCCATCCCCTTCTCGATGAAGAGAAACTTGACGGAGCGATTCCGCAGCCTCCCCCTCCCCTATCCAAAGTTGGCTCTTGTCGGGGCCGCTGCTGCAGTGCGGGTGTCGGTGCAACGTTGGGCTGGGGAGGAGGGGCGCGCCACTGCGAGAAGATGACCCCATGCCCAGGCAGCCCCATCAAGACTCCGATGCGACCCCGAAGCTTTCCCTGGAACCCATGGCCACTTTTGCCAATTTTTTCTTCAGGAGTGGTGTAGCTACGGTCGGGAACTTTTGGATAGCGTGTCGCTCAGTCGGTTCAGGCCCACCGCGCTTCGGCGCGACACGCTATTCACTTTCCCATGTTCCAGCGACAAAGTCCCGAGCCTTTCCCAGCCTTCTGCCCCGCGGAGCGGAGCGACACGCTATCCGCTCGCAGGGCATAGCGCGTCGCCGGGGCCGTCGCCACGACATGCTATCCAACAATTGTTGACGCTTCGCGTATCCCTACCAGCGTCCGTAGCCATTGGCTCAAGGCCGTTCTGGCTCGAGACGAGCCGAGCCGGCCTCGCCTGCGCCCCCTGGGCGCGCTGCCCGGGGCAGGTCGGGATGGGGGCGCCCTCCTCCTGACCTGCCCCTCCCCTGCGCCATGGCGGCGCCCGCTGGCCTGGCGGCCGGCCGCGCGCCTGGCCGCGGCCCTGCCGCCGCCGCCGCGCCCTCGCAGGCGGCTCGCCGGCGTCGGCAGCGGCGTGCGGCCGCCGCCCGCTTCGCCGGCACCGCCCCGGCCCCCGGCCTTCGGCCTCCGCCGACTGGAGGCCTTGGCGCTGGCGGCGCCGCGGGGCGCCGCCGCGGCTGCTGGCGCGGCCGCCGCGGCCGCCGCGGCCGCCTCCGACGCGGTTGGTGCCGCGGGGCTGCACGGCTGGCGCCGCTGGCGCTGCCGCCCCCGCGGCCGCCGGCGACGGCACCGCCGTCGCGGCCCCGCCGCGGCCGCGGGCGCGCGCGCCTACGCCGTGGCCGCTGACGCCGCTGCCGCTTGCGCGGCCGCGGCCCAGGCGACCTCTGCGGCCGCCCTGGCCGCTGGGCCCGCTGCTGCCGCCGCCAGCGCCGGCGCCGCGGGCGCCGCGGGCGCCGCTGGCCGCCTGCGCTGCCGCCGGCGCTTCGGGGCGCCGCCGCCGCCGGGGGCGCCGCGGGCGCCGCTGGCGCCGCTGGCGCCGCAGGCGCTGCACGCTGGGCCGCGCCGCCGGCGGGGGCCGCGGGCGCCGCGGGCGCCGCCGGCGCCGCGGGCACCGTTGGGGCCGGCGCCGAGGGTTCGATGGCTGGCGGCGCCGCCGCCGCCCCTGCGGCCGCCGGCGCCGCGGCGGCCGCCTCCGCCGCCGCCGCCGCCGCCGCTGCCGTGGCGGAGGCGGCCGCCGCTGCGGCCGCGGGCCGCGCGGCCGGCGCCGCGGCCGCCGTGGCCCGCGCGGCCGCGCTTGGGCCCGCCGCGGCTGGCGCCGCCGCGGCCGCGCCTGCAGGAGCAGCAGCAGCGGCAGCAGCGACAGCAGCAGCAACGACAGCCGCAGCAGCAGCACCTGCAGCCGCAGCCGCAGCAGCAGCAACAGCAGCAGCAACAGCAGCAGCCACAGCAGCGGGACTGCAGCAGCAGCAGCGACAGCAGCAGCAGCAGCAGCAGCAACATAAGCCAGCAGCTGCAGCTGCAGCAGCAGCAGCCGCAGCAGCGGCAGCAACAGCAGCAGCACCCGCGACCGCGGCCGCAGCAAAAAAAAAACAGGGGAAGGGGGCGGAACGGGTCAGATGGATGTACCCCCGCTCCCTGACGCCCTTCCGGGCACCCCTGACGGCCAGCAGACTGGGCAAGAGGACGCAGGCGAGGAGTCTTCAAGCACTCCTGCGGCAGCCAGCGGCGACCCTGGCGAACAGAGACCCACAGCAGCTCAGACGGCCGTCAGCGGCACCCCCGGTGACGAGGGCCCCACAACACCTCAATGCACACACCCTCCGACGGTCACAAGGAGGTACCCTTGCTCCCTCAGCAGCAGCAGCATGGCATGGAAAAGGATAGGGGGGCCGCGGCGGAATGGGCGGAAGCGGCGGAGGCTGCGGAGTATCGGGGGCCCGAAGCGGCGGAGGCCTTTGAAGGTGCGGCAGAGGCACGAGCCGTCACCGGGGTCCCTGGAGCAGAACCGGGTGGACATGGGTTGGCCCCCGAAAGTGCGGACGACAGCCGCAACAGTCCGCTAAGCGAGTTCCTGGACCAGCAGGGGCTCGCCTGCCGCGTCGTGCCACCCCCACCTTCTCCGCAAAATGAGCAGACCGTCAGCAGTCCCCTGGGGGCGCCACAGACCCAACAGGGGGACCGCGGACCAGCCGTTCAGACGCAGGACATCGAAGCCATCCGCCGGCTCGTCGGGAGAAGCCCCTTCGCGCCTATTCGCCCACCCTCCCTTGACAGTGAACCCGCTCTAACAGGCGGCGAACCTCAGGCGCTCCCTCCAGACGCCCATGGCGCGACTGACGAAGAAGTTTGTGCTCTGGCAAAGGAAACGGTGTCGCCGTACGTGCGCGCTCCTGGCGCGACCAGCAGCGCCCCCGAGACCGGCGGGGGCCCCGCTTTGACCGAAGGGGGCGCGCCCGTGAGCGACGGCGGGCGCAGGCCCGAAGTCGAATGCCAGCGAAAGGGGCCCCTCTCCGCACACCGCAGGACAGCGTCCGCCCGGGCTGCTGGAGGCGATCCGGCCCCTGCCTGGCGGCCAACTACGTGGCCCGCGTCTCCCCGCAGGGCCCCGCCAGGCGTGCAACCGGAACTGTCGCGAGCAAATTGCGAGCCTTCTGGCCAGGACAGCGGGGCCGGTACGCCGGAGACCTGCGGCCAGAACACGCGGCAGCGCCAATGGCCAGAGCTGCGCCAATGGCCAGGGCCCTCAGACCCCGACGCGGGACAGCAGCTGTTCAAAGCAAAGATCGACAACATCCAGTGGGACCTTCCAGGGGAGACACCCGGCGAGGCAACGAGGCGGCTCCAAGTCACCCTGGGGGAAATGTTCACAAGCACGCGTCGCGCTTTTCGCCGGGCAGCAGGACGTGCCTGGCAGCGAAGGCGCGCTTGACCCGCTTCGGCACGACCCGCTAACCTGCCTTCGCTTCCTGGATTCCTTCCGCAGCCACAAGTGCGACGTACGGGCCGTCAGCGACGCGCTGGGCCTTGGCGTCGACTGGGCTCGGCTGCGGCAGCAACGCCCGGGTCGAAGCGGCGGAGCGGGCAGGGATCACCACGCGGCAAAGGGCCACCCGGACACCCGCGCACCCTGGAAGGGCAAAAAACAGTGGCTGGTCGTCTCCCCACAGCAGCCGTTGCGGCCCCACGTCGTGGCACCGCACTGGCTGTGAAGGACCCCGCGTGCTCCTGTCCAGCGGCCAAATCCCTGGGCGCCCCTCCCGTCGCCCCCCCCGGCGGGGAGGGGCCCGCGGGGCTCGTGGTGCCCTGCGTCCCGGTGCTGTCGGCCAAGGGCCGTTTGCCCCCCCCCCCCCACACCCCAAGTGCTCGCCCCGTCCTCACTCGTCTTCGCCCGACCCAGTGCGGCGGTTACCGCGACCCTGGATTCGCGCGAGGAGCAGCTGGGACTACGGGCGCGGCACCTCCCCCCTTTCTTCTCCGCGGTCTGCGGTTCCTGGGGGTCCACAACACCACGCCCCCTCATGGATGCGTCGGGCTTCGGGGTGACAGCGCCGCCCCCTGCGTGCCTGTCCACTAGCTGCTGCCTGCCCACGTTGGACCACACAGGCAGTGGGAGATCGGCCGTTCGGTATCACTCTCCTCAGCGGCGGCTTGCTGCGCCCCCGGGTGCCCCGTCCAGCCCTCAGCGGGGCTGGCTGCCCACTCTGGGCACCTCCAGCCGGCCTCCCGCGGGAGCTCAAGGTACTCTGGCATCCGGGTGCTGTCCGCCGGGCCGTCTTCCGCCTCCCCCCGTGGGCGCCCCGCGGGAACTCAGGGCACTCTTGCATCCCAGTGTGGTCTGACAAGGGCCGCCTGCCGCCCCCCCCCGTGGGCGCTCCGTCTTCGCCCAGCCCAGTGCGGCGGTGTGCCGCGACCTTGGATCCGCGCGGGGAACAGCTGGGACTACGGGCACGACCCCCCTCTGTACACTTCAGCAGCGGCTTGTCACTCTACGGGCTCACAAACATCAGCGGCGGTTAGCGGCGACCCTGGAGGGCCGCGACGCGACCCT